CCTCAGTCTCCTAAGTAGCTCGGACTACAGGCACATACCACCACACTCAGTAAATTTAAAAAACTTTTTGTAGACCGGGGGCAGGGGCTCAAGTGTGTAATCCCAGCACTTTGGGAGGCTGAGGTGAGAGGATTGCCTGTTTGAGAACAGCCTGGGCAACTTGGAGAGACCTCATCTCTACAATAAATCAAAAAGTTAGCCAGGCATGATAGTGTGCACCTGTAGTTCTGGCTACTTGGAAGGCTGAGGCAGAAGGATCACCTAAGCCCAGCAGGTTGATGCTGGGGTGGCTGTGAGCATGCCACTGCACTCCAGCCTAGGCGATGGAGTGAGACTGCAACTCAAAAAAAATTTTTTTTTGGCAGAGACAAAGTCTTGCTGTGTTGCCCAGGCTGGTCTCAAACCCCTGGCCTCAAGCAATCCTCCCACCTTGGCCTCTCAAAGTGTCGGATTATAGCTGTGACCTACCGCGCCTGGCCAGATCATCAATGACATTTGCCTTTCTATAAATGGAATCGTACAGCAAATTCTTATTTGTGTCACGTTCCTGTCACACAACATGGAGTTTATCCACTTAATTCCCGTCGTTGTGTCTATCAGTCATTGGTTCCTTTCCTCTCATTTTGCAGAATCTCCTCTCGTGAATGTGTCACTGTTCATGTATCCACTCTCCTGTTGATGGAGACATTTGTGCAGTTCCATCGCGGGAGTGCCCCACAATGTGTTCATTCATTCTGTTTGTGGATGTTTGGGTCGCTTCCACTCGTTGGCTGTGATAAATAACATCGCTGTAAATATTTGTGCTTGTGTCTCCTAGAGGACGGATGAGCTCAGGCCTCTTGGGCACACACCCGGGTTTGGGGTCTCTGGGTGGCAGAGTGGGGATGTGTTTGGCTTTAGCAGGGAGATTTTCCCAAGTGGTAGGACCAGTTTACACTCCCACTGCGGACACATGAGAGGTTTCTCAGCAACAACTCCCAACTCTGAAAAGGAGTGAAAATGCCCATCTCTGAAAGCAGACTCTCAGGCCCCCAACGGCAGCGCTCTCTGGCTTAGTCAGAAGTCTGTCACTGAGGGCCAGGGGTAGGGGGGTATACCGGGTGGCTGGCGGTCTTCTTGGTCAGGTTTTCCCAGCCTGCCTCGGGAAGGGCAGCCCCTTCAACCTGGTTCTCTGTCCCCCGACAGGGTGTGTCACTATCTCAGTCTGGGCTTGCCTGGAAGCAGGCAGCAGGGTGGAGATTCTTTTTTTTTTTTTGAGTTGGAGTCTCACTCTGTCACCCAGAATGGAGTGCAGTGGCCACTCCTGGCCATTGCAGCCTCAACCTGCTGGGCTCTGGCGATCCTCCCGCCTCAGCCTTCCAAGTAGCTGGAACTACAAGTGCTAGCTACCACACCCGGCTAATTTTTTGATGTATTGTGGAGATGAGGTCTTGCTGCCCAGGCAGGTCTCGAACCCGCGGGCTCAGGCAATCCACTCACCTCAGCCTTCCAAAGCGCTGGCATTACAGGTTGAGCCACCGAGCCCAGCCTCCAAGAGGAAAATTCTTATTTGGGAAATGAGTGTCAGGAAACACCAATGGGATGTGGGAGAGTGAAGCAGAAGGAAAAGATGTCCTGGCAGCCAGTGGGCACGAGGAACAAGGGAGCTGAGGTATGGATACACTTGCTCCCACCTGTTGCTGGTTGAGGGCAGCTGCCAGGGTGGAGGTGTTCACGCCAGGAAAGCCATCGCCATCTGCAATCCCTGCTCGCCCGCCCTCCATGCCATCACCACACTCTGCAGTTTCACACCCAAGCTTCTCTTGAATCTACTTTCTGCACGATCCAGTCCCCTAGGCCTGCCCCCATTCATCCAGTGGAGAGATCTTCCACAGTGCCCAGGTTATAACCTTGGCTTGACGTCTGCTCACTGTGTGACCTTGACCAAGACCCAGCCTCTCTGGCCTCTACTTCCCCATCAGTCGAAAGGGGTCATATTAGCACCTGTTTCATGGGCTTACGAGGAGGGGTAAATGAGTCCAGACCAACAAAACCCTTAGCTCTGTGCCTGGCACACAAGCAGGTGCCACAGAAGTATTTTGTGCCGGATGTGGTGGCTCATGCTTATAATCCCAGCACTTTGGAAGGCTGAGGTGGGAGGATTGTTAGAGCCCAGGAGTTTGAGACCAGCCTGGGCAACACAGTGAGATCTCGTCTGTACAAAAAAAAAATCATAAAAATTAGCTGGGCGTGGTGGCACATGCCTATAGTCCTGGCACTTAGGGAGGTTGAGGTGGCAGGATTGCTACAGCCTGGGAGTTTGCGACCAGCCTGTGCAACATAGCGAGACCTCATGTCTACAAAAAAATCAGAAAATTAGCCAGGTGTGGTGACACGTGTCTGTAGTCCCAGCTATTCAGGAAGCTGAGGTGGAAGGATCGCCTGAGCCCAGGAGCTCAAGGCTGCAGTCAGCCGTGAGGGTGCCACTGCACTCCAGCCTGGGCGAGAGTGAGCCCCTGACTCAAAAAGAAGAAAAAGAAGAAGAAGAAAAGGAGAAGGAAGAGGAGGAGGAGGAAGAGGAAGAAGAGTTTTGTTTTGTTTAACAAATGAGGGAAATAACTGCAACCTTTTCACAATCATTCATACCTCTCAGGAAAAATCCCAGATCCTAAATGCTGTTCACGAGACTGTGGCTTGACTCACCTGCCCCCTCCCCCTGGGGGTTGCATGGCAGCCGTAAAAGATACAACCACCTGGATCCTGTGAACGTGACCTTATCTGGAGAAAAAGTCTTTGCAGGTATAATGACGTCAAGGACCTTGAGATGAAGTCATCCTGGGTCACCCGGGTGAGTCTCCATCCAGTGATATGTGTTCTTACTAAGAAGAGAAAGGGACAGACATAGCAATGAGGGCCTCAGGACGACAGAGGTGCAGGCTGGAGGGCTGCGGCCACCAGCTGAGGAATGCCAGGAGCCACTGGGAGCTAGAGGAGGCCTGGCTCAAACCCTGCCCCCAGCGGGAGGGAGCACAGCCCTGCTGAGGCCTGTAAGTCTGGCTTCTCCAGGCTGTGTGAGAACACCCTTCTGCTGTTTTAAGCCACGCAGTTTGTAGTAATTTGCTACCACGACCTAGGAAGCACATACACTCTGTAGTCAAGTGTTTAGCACAAAGTGCCCCAAGCTGGGAGGCAGAAAACACAGAGTCCGGAGGCTGGAAATCCAAAATCAAGGTGTCAACAGGGCTGGCTTCTCCCCAGGGCGGTAAGGAGCAGTTGCTCCCATCTTCTCTCCGGCCGCCGGCTGTCTTTGGCTGGCTATCTTTGGCTTATGGCATCTCCAGTTCTGCCCCAGACGGACTTCCCTGTCCCTGTTCATTCGTATTGATGTCCCTCTAGGCTGCTGTGTCCAAATCTCCCCTTTTAAAAGGACACCTGCTGGATGTGGAGGCTTGCACCCGTCAATCTCGGCAACTTGGGAGGCTGAGGTAGGATGATCGCTTGAGGCCGGGATTTCAAGACCAACCTGAGCAACGTAGTGATGCCCTGGCTTTATTTATTGTTTTGATGTGTGATCTCACTGTTTCCCAGGCTGGAGTGCAGTGGCACTATCAGGGCTCACTGTAGCCTTGAAGCCCCGTGCTCACGCTATCCTCTCACTTCAGCCTCCTGAGGAACTGGGACTACAGACACATACCATCGCCCCTGGCTAGCTGGATTTGCTTGGTGGTGGGGGAGAGGGGAGCCGCCGAGGGAGGGTCCTGGCATGAAACAGAGAGCCCACTTGGGTGAGATTCCGGGGGAATGAAGGAAGGGCTGGCTTCGAAGGGTGGGCAGGATGGGGGATAGGAAATTAAGAAGGGATGCCTGCCAGAACAACAGCCAAAGGAAGCTGAACCCCCGGGTTTGAAGGGCCAGAGGAGACGTGGTGTAACTCAGCTGCAGACAGCGGGGACTGGCAGGGGCATTCCCTAGCCACGGGTAGGGTCAGGGATGCCGAGGCCCGGAGGTCATGAGAGGTAGTTTCCAGGAGGGAGTCATGTTACTTTGAGAGCCAGAATCTTGGAGGGCAGTGGCCAGTGGGAGCTGGCCCCACAGAGGGAAGCAGTTCCTGCCAGACACGGGCATAGAGGCTGGGAAGCCAGCAGGGGAGACACACCCCAACCCTATCCTCTTCCTCATCCCACCTGTCTCCTGCAGGTGGCTTTTGTCTCCGGGCTCAGCCAGTGGGCAAAGGGGGCCAGGAGATGCCGGTGGAGCAGGGAGCAGGGCTGAGGGTGGCCCGGGCTACACCCTCCACCAATGGCGTTCTGACCGCCTGGTGAGAGCCAGGCCCAGAGTGGGTGGAAAAAGGCCAGAGGTGGTGGACATGGATTTCTCATGCGTGCACGTCTACATTGTACCTCGGCCATCGTGAAGCCGTCATCAGCCCAAGGATGGGCGCGCCGGAGCCAAGGTCTTTCTGGACGGTTCCCCTTGATGTCTCCTTCTTGGCCAGGGCTCACCACCCCTGCAGGGCCTGCTTGGCCTTCTTTGTAGAGCCCACATTCCCTGTGCAGCCTGGGCATGAGGTGACCAGCACCCCTCACGGCTTTACTCGAAGGCCGGGCAGAAGCCGCCTGAGGATGGAGAGAGGCCTCCGGAGGGAGGGAAGAGGTGTGTGGGGAGGAACCTGGGGATGAGGGGCAGGGTTGAGTCTGCTCCAGCTCTCAGGGAGGAAAGGTCGAGTGTCTGGCCTAGGGTAGGGAGGCGGAGGATGGACTCAGGGCAAGAGAGGGCATGGATGTGGGGCAGGACACGCCTAGGCTGAGGACCTCAGGCAGCAGAGGCGGCCATGCTGAGATGGAGACCCTGGAAAGGTCAAGGGCATCCAGGTGAGAAGCCCCGGTCTTCGGTACATGCGTGTAGACTCAAGGGAGGCCATCCAGGCACTGCCTGAGCCTCGACTCTCAGCCTGGGCTCCCCTCCCCGGACCGCCTGCCACTCACCCCGGGCCCCCCGAAACCATGCAGAGAGGCCAGACGTTGATGAGTCACTTACAGTTTATTTTTGCCTGAAAGTATTTCACATCTCTTTGTACACAGCTACGTGACAGTAGTATTAACCATCAGGAAAAGCAACAGTGCGAGGGGAAAGGTGGCATGTCTTGTTTCTTCTTTTTTTTTCCATTTTTAAATTTTTTTTTAAATTTTTTTTTTTTTTTTTTTTTTTTTTTTGCTTCTTCCTGCACCAGAGTGCTGTAGAGGATGGGACCGGGCGGGGGAGAAGAAAACCAAACAACGAAAAACAACAACAACGGAAAACAAAACACGAAACAGAACACACTCACACACACACACACACACACGAAATAAAACCTGGCACATAAAATGAATTAAGACTGAAACCCAATTTCTTTTTTTTTCCTTTTTTAAAAAAATGAGGGCATCATAGGGGGGTAATAAATTCTACCTAGCAAAGTATAAAACGACAAAAGCATGGTTTCCATTGAATAAGATTAAATATATATAAAACAAGTACATTGGCTGGGGGTGGGTCTGGGTTGCTGGAGGGGGGTATTTGTGCTAAACCAACAGAAAGAGGGGCTGGGGGCAGAGGGGGACCCCAAATGAACCATCAGTGGGCTGTTCTGTACAGTGAGGGCTTGTTAAGAAAAAGCCGCCTGTTTATAAAAGAAACGGAGGTTGGCTAGTCGTCGGAGCAGGTGTGGGGACGGGAGCGTCTTCGCTGCAGTGGTCACATTGATGGGGTGGGACGGGCAGTCAGAGGCGACGTATCTCTCTTCTCCCAAGAGACCATGCAGAGAGGCGGGCATGCACGGGGGGGCATGTGACGCACACGATGGCCGGGGAGCCCACAGGTGGCAGGGTCTTGGTCGGGGACACAGCAAAAGGCTGGTGGAGAGGGGAGCTCTCCGGGGGGTGGGGTATGAAGACAGGTTAGCACCCCCCTTCTAAGTCTGTAAAAAGGGGCTGAGAGAAAGAGCTCAGGCCTCAGAGGAGCAAGACTTCGGTGCGGGGACCACATCCCCCCCCAGCTTGACCCCCACCCCACGAGGAAGTCGAAGTCGGAGACATCTAGAAATCAGAATGCACAGTGGAGGGTGGACAGACTGACGGACGAGAGCATTAGCATACAGAATCCATTACGAAAAATCAATTACTTTTTCCAAGAAGGTTCTTTTTTTTTTCTTTTTCTTTTTTTTTTTTTTGTCTGTTTGTTTCCTTTAAAAAAATAACAATACTACTACCACTAATCCGACAGCTGACTGGTCTATACAGTACTACACGCCGGGGGTGGGGGAGTGGGAAGGGAGGGGAGGGAGGGGCAGAGACTTCATAAATAAGGGGCGGGTCCCAGACCCACAATTTGTCAACATGTCTTAAATAGGTGCATTATTTAAATCTTATGTACAACGAGAATCACTTTGCATAGCAATGGTGAGGACACAGGACAGGTGCAGTGACGTGACTGGGTCTTCCTGGCCCAAGGGCGGGCGAGCTCTGCGCTCAGCTGGGAGCCGCGAGGAAGCAAGCATCCTCCGCCCGGCCTGCCCCGGTGGCGCTGGAGTTGGTTTCTCCCACACGGCGTTAAACACAAAGGCAAAGAAAATCCACAGAGGGACCCCACCCAGCCCCGCCCCCACCCTCTCCCACCCCGCCAATGCCCCTCTTGTCGCCACAAAGTCCATTTCAGATCAGGTCAAAGGTTCCAATTATGAAGCTAAAAGAATTAGGTGGGGGCTGGGCGTGCTCGTGGACCCCTCCCACCCCCTCCCCCCTCTGCCCCCAGAAAGACTCCCCATCTATCTCGCAGCCAGGGCGCCAGGTGGGACCCCGGGACCGGCTGTTCTACGGCTATTAGTCAAGAGTTGTTTAGTCGTGGTCACACTTCCTGCTCGAGCTGGGGGCTTCACCAGGCTTCCGTGTAGCGGACGTCCACCTCCTTCAAGTTGGGAAGCTTGGCCTGCGGGCAAGAAGAGCCCTCGTGAGCTGTGGAACTTGGCGGTACCTCGTGCTCCCCCGGGGTGGTTGGGGGCCTCTGCTGCCCTCTCCCCACCTGGGTGCTGTGGGATCCCGGGCGGCTGGCACAGTGGCTGGCAACTCAGGCCAAGCACAGAGCCTGCGGGATGGGCCCTGACTCAGAAGGCAGGCGGCGGTCCAAGAACCCAGGCAGCGGGATTCCGTGCCCTCACCGTGGCTGGGCTTTGGATCTCTGGCGTTGAGGGCAGAAGGACCAGGGTTTGAGCCCCAGCTCTGCCGCTGGCTGGCTGCGTGACTGCAGGCAGACGACCCAGTCTTTGGACGCCTCAGTTTCCTCATGCATGAATCTGAGCCTAGGTCCTGGCTCAAAGGACAGTGCCAGGGATTAAACACCAAGTACAGGGGACGCCCCGGTCATATGCCCTGTGAACAGGAACGAGCCTGTCCTGTCAGTGACATCCTCACATCCTCACCACTCTCAGAACAGGGCAGGGTGATGAAGTGGCCACAGCCAGCCCCAGGAACCCGGGGGGTCAGCTTGGAGTCTCCCTCAGGGCCCCCATTGCTAGACTGTTTGGTCCCAGTGCCGTTTCCTGCTCCCAGGCCCTCCTCCACCATCTTTTATAAACAGGAGGCTCCCTGGGGCTTTTTCTCAACAAGGTTGCACCCTACAGCCAGGCGGCCGCCTCCTAATTGGCCCTCCCTCCCTCCCTCCTTGGCTTTCCCGTAGCCGGCCAGCACCGCTTTTGTCTGCACACACACGTTTGTATGCTGCCCTCCTGTGCTCAACCACCCTCAATGGCTCGCCACTGCCTACGCAGAGGTTACCAGACGCGGGCCTGCAGAGCTGCCAGGTGTCTTTAAGCCAGTCTTTCCAAGTTAGGAGGCAGCCCAGAAGACTCTACGCTTCCAGGTTCTCTTGAAAATGGAAAGATCTGCCAGACTGGACGGTGAACCACATGGCACTGCCTGCCTAGCACTGAGTGGAGGCCCCTCCTCCGATGGGCAGGCAGTCCCCGTCTGCTGAGTCCCATTCACACGGAGGCCGGTTATAGGCTGGCACCATCGGGTTGGTACCGTGTCTCTCGAATGTGCAAAAATGGGCAAATTGACCACAAGTGCTTTTTCTTCCCAAGTGGCTGCTCCTGCCTCTCAAGGTCCCTTCCCTGCCTGGTCTCGGCAGCATGTGGATTTTCGGCATGTGGGACTCAGACACTCCAAAGCAGCGCCCTCAACTGCAGCGTGGGGCAGAACGGATGCAGCTTCCAGGCCTGGGGCCCGGGACTAGCACTGCGAATGATGCCCACGGTGCTGTTGTGCAGATCCCACTTGGAGTGGCATGGGCTCAACTCAGGTGGGTGCTCTGCTGGCTGTGCCCCGACCCCTCCTGTGTCCCCCACCTCATCGCCTGGCCTCACTCTCTGCCAACAGCCCCTCCTCGCTGACGCCATGAGCCCTGTGCCTGCCAGGACACAGTGACCTAGCGGGCAGGGCTCACGGCAGCCGCACCTCGGCATCCCTGTCCCTGTCCCGGTCCCAGCACACAGGTGAGTCTCTGGAAGCATCTGGAGTCTGGGCGGTGAGCTGCCCCAGCTGCGGGAGGCCTGGCTGCCGCAGGTGGGCCTTGGCCATGGGCTGCGGGGGAGGCAGGGCGGGGTTCCCTCCAAGTGGCTTCCAGGGCGCGAAGGGGCCAGCACACTCGTGGGCGCCATCTGTGCCTTCTGGCTCCGGGGCCAGTCCTTCCCTTCCAGGACGCTGACCCTCTGCTGGCCTTGCCTGCTCCTCCTGGGGTGGCCGGTACGGGCCCAGGAGGACAGGGTGGCAGAGGCGCTCAGGGCCTGGCTCTCACAGCCTCCCCAACATGTGCTTTTCTTACAAACAAAAGGCCCCTGCCGTCCACCACCGCTCCGGGCCCCCCTTTCCCCGATTTCACTTGTCAGTCCTGGTAGCAGTGTGGCCTCAGCAGTGTGGCCACACCAGGCCTGTACATGCCTTCTCTGCGTCCACATCGGCCGCGCTCAGAAACACTACGTTCTGCCCACAGCCGGGGCGCCTATGGAAGCACAGCTCACTGTCCTGCATTCACCTGGGCGCCCACCCCCCGCCTGGCCTCCCCCACCTCTGGCAAGTCTGGTCCCCCCTCCTCTCCTGCCTCAGGACCTCTGCCCTCGCTCTTCCTCTCACCCTTCCTCCTCTCGCTTCTTGTCCTTGGCATCCCAGCTCCCAGGGCCTCTTCTTCAAGGGGACTGTCCCTGAGCACCCGTGCCACACAGGCCCCCATTTCCAGTTTGCTAATCCCTGCTGGTTTCCTCGTCATCACTCCTGTCAACTGCCATGCTTTTCAGTACTTATTGATCTGTTGGTGTAAGAGCCTCTGTCCTGAGGAACAAGGTACATGAAGGCCAAGCACGGATATCCAGAAGGGGAGGAGGGAGGGGAGGAGGGGGAGGGGGAAGAGTTACCTTCAGATCTTCGTAGGTGTCAGCCGAGAGCTTGGTGCTGTTCATGTTTAAGCTGCAGAGACTCTTCATGGCTGTACAAGGACAGACATATGCAGTTGTTAGGTCAGGGAGACCCCACAAGGGCAGCTGCAGGTATGGGGTGATCAAGGTACAGGGACTTACTGCAGATGTGAAGCCCCTGGCCAGGAATGGGTTGGGGGGGTTTCACAGACACAGCCAGGGTGGGCTGTCCGCTGGACACGGAGCCTGTTCCAGGCTTGCGCCAGTCTGAACTGGGTCTTCATTCTCTTTCCAAACTGTGAGCCTTCCTCCCTTCAAACCCCCTGTCATGTCCCTTCACTGCGTGGACCAGATGCCCCAGAGCTCGCCTGTCACAACCTAGCTCAGCCGGTGGGGCTTGACCTCTTCCCCCAAAGGAAAGGTCCCCCAGTAGTGGCTGACTCAGCCTGGCCTCTCAAAAGCAGGCGACCCCCTTTGGTTGTGTCAGAGTCACAGGGGAGTGGGGGCTCGAGTGAGGACCAGGGGTCTTCCTTGTCCTTCAGGACACGCTCACCCCCACTCCCAGATGACTCGGCAAACATCCGAGGAGTCCCTCTGCAGAGACCTGGCTCCACACCCTACCCTCTCTGCCCTCATCAACCCAGTCACCTGCGCCCACCTCCCCCGGAGACAGCCAGCCTTGCCAGTGACCTGCCCTTGGCAACCCCTGCCTGGCCAGCTCCCGCAACCCCATCCTCACAGTCAGACCCCACGTCAGCCCCTGGAAAGTCTGCTCTGGTTCCTCCCTTCTGGGCCACAGGTCCAATGGGTCTAAAAACAGGACAGCTGGCCAAACGCCGATTCCCAGGCTCGAGGCCCCGCGATTGCAGTTAAGTAGATCAGGGCTGGCATGTGAGAATCAGCCGTTCTAGGGAGTATTTTGGGGCTCCTTCCATTGCAGCAGTGCTTCTCAAACTCCAGGGGATTGGGAACCCCTGGGTACCTGGCTACTACCGCAGGACCTGAGTCGGGAGGTCCAGGGGTGGGGTCTGAGGATGTGCATTTCTGACCAGTTCCCAGGGGGTGCTGTCCCGCTGGTGGGGACCCCAGGGTAATACCCAAGAACACCTTCCTGGGACATGGCCCCTCAGTGACCTGAGGGCATCAGGAGGCAGGGGCTGGTTATTCTATTTCCTCTAGATTGGAAACTCCCCGAGGGCAGGGAGAACTTCCCCTGCTCCGCTCTAGCACCTCTAATGGTCCCCCCGTGTGTCACCCACGTGCTGAGGGAGGGAGGCAGCACCCTCCACCCCACTGCGGCCCAGCACACTCACAGCTCAGGGCCAGCAGGCCAGCGTCGGTGACCGGGGTCTCGCACAGGTTCAGCACCTGGAGCATGGTGAGGTGTTCCGACAGGAGCCGCAGGCCGGCGTCTCCAAACTGTGGGGCACAGACACACTCAGTCCCCGCTGCCAGGCACCCCAGGGGGCTGACCAGAGGTCAGGCGGAGGCAGAGAGAGGGGACTGGGGCCGAGCCCAGCCCACGGCCCGCCGAGCCCCAGGGTCTGGGCTGCTCTCACCAAGAATCCAGTGCTTCTCCCAGCCTGGGCTGGATCCAGCCTCTGCTGGGGTGGGGAGCAGGAAAGGGCCCCGGGGGGTTGGTCTGGCCTCTCTCAAGGAGGGCTCTGGACTCAGTGACTCCTTCCCACGGGCGGGACGGCAGAGGAGTAGGGCTGGACCGGAGGGCACATCCCCGCGCCTCGTCTGTGAAACGAGGGCAGTGGCAGGACCACAGGCGTAGGGTGGGGCCCACTGGGTTGGCCTGTGCTAGCGCTGCACGGCTCAGTCCATCCGGAGCTGGAACTCCGAGACACTGGCATTACCGGGGCGGCCATCACAACCACAAAAGGCCCACCAGCCGCCGGTGTTCACCCTCAGCAGGCCGGGGACGCCCACCTGACACCGCAGTTCTGCCTCTCGGCACCTCAGGACTCAGTCCCGGGCACGTTCCTGCCCTGGGCCTCCGCATTCCTCAGGCTTCCTGAGGTCCTCAGCCTCCTCTGGCCTGGGGGACGGGGCACCGAGCTTAAGGGAGGGATGTGTGGTACTCGGGTGGCTGGCCCAGAGGCTCCGGCCAGAAAGGCCAGATGCGGGGTAGGCAGGGAGGGGGCAGCACTCAGGGAAGGCAGTGTCGGAAGGCGGCGTGAGGGGCGGGGGGGCAGAGAAGGTGAGGGAGACAGCACAGAGGGAACGGGGAGCAAGGAGGAGGGTGTGGGGCAGGGAAGAGGGTGCAGGGGGCAGGACGGAGGTGTGGAGGGCTGGGAGGACAGTACAGGGGGCTGCGACAGGGAAGTGTGTGGGGGCAGGGAGGAG